AAAAGAAAAGATTAGAATTTATTTTGATAAGAATGTTTAAAAAGATTAAAATTCATCAAATAAATGTGTGGAAAATTTCAGAGTTTATCTCGCAGTCTCGATGTCGCGTTGAATAAATCGCTCAAGATAGAGCTAATAGTATTAACTAGGTAGGTACTTAAAGAAAATTTTATATGTAGGTACATAAAATGTGGGGAAAAGATCCAAAAATTGAGAAATCGTCCAAAAGAGTAAATAAATGTTCAACCACCTTTAAAATGGCACAAGTTTAGCATCATCTCATCAAGTAGGAACATAAATTTCTCGTTATCTTTTCTTTTCTATACCCTTCGACAAGTGTTTTTGTTTTGTTTTGTCAGAAAACGAAAAAGATAAGATCGGAGCTAAATTGGGAGAAAAATGAAAATAATTTTTTATTGGAAGCTTTTACTGATAACGATAACAATTAAATGGAAAACGTGCTTAGGAACAAAAGCTAACATTATACTCATATTAACTGACGATCAAGATCTGTTACTGAAATCTCTAGAAAATTTACCAAAAGTTGATAATTTATTAACAAAGGAAGGCGCAATATTTTCTAATGCGGTGAGTTAAAACTTGCAAACTATTTCAAAATGTGTCATTTTATTTTTTTATTATTAGTTCACTTCTTCCCCAATATGTTGTCCTTCAAGAGCATCTATTTTAAGCGGCTTATATGCTCATAACACTCAAACGTATAACAACTCTCATGATGGAGGTTGCTACTCAAATCATTGGATCAAAAATATTGAACCATTCACATTTCCAGTGAAACTCAAAGAGGCTGGCTATGAGACATTTTTTGCGGGCAAATATCTCAACCAATATAAATCCAAAGAAGTTCCTATCGGATATGATCAATTTTTTGGTCTCCATGGTAACAGCGTGTATTATAATTACACGTTGAATGAAAATGGGAAGCTCATCAATTACAAAGACACTTCTGAAGATTATCTTACAAACGTAATAAAATCACGATCGTTGAACTTCATAAAAAATCAAACCGGAGTGAAACCTTTTTTTGCTATGTTATCAGTGCCATCAGCACACGCTCCATTTACACCTGAAGCTAAATATAAGGATTATTTTAAAAATAAAACCGCTCCGAACACTAAAAATTTCAACATTGGTGCAAAACCTTTTGATAAACATTGGTTGATGACAATGAAGCCTCATGAGATGGACGACTCTGTTCTTGCAACTATTGATGAATATTATCGAAGAAGATTAGAAACACTTCTCACTGTTGATGATCTGGTTGAAGATATTGTGAACCAACTCACTGATCAAATGATGATCGACAATACTTATATAATATTGACATCTGATAATGGATATCATTTAGGGCAGTGGGCAATGCCCTTTGATAAAAGATTACCTTATGAAACTGATATCAGAGTGCCGTTAATTGTTCGTGGACCACACATTTCTCAATCGATAATTAATTCACCTGTACTGCTTATTGACATCGCTCCAACAATATTAAATTGGGCAAAAGTGCCACTAATTATTGAAGATTTTGATGGAAAGCCTTTTGATTATCTCTTAACTCACTCGTATGATGGTAAAATTGAGGAAAGACAAATGCTAATTGAATATTGGGGAGAAGGAAACCAAGAAACATTTAATCCTTCATGTCCATATAAGAAAAGTCAACGTTTAAGTGGATGTACAATTGAAGCAGGCTGCAAGTGTGAAGATTCATGGAATAATACATATGCATGTGCAAGACACATTGCTCAAGATATCAATTTTATATTTTGCATGTTTGACGATCACGAAAGTTTCCAAGAGGCTTATGATTTAAATGAAGATATTTACCAATTACAAAACATCGGATATGACATTTTGCCATCTGTGCAAGCTAAATACCAAATAACTATACAAAACTTGAAAGAATGTAGAGGTGATTCATGTAGGATAGTGTATTAAATTAATAAAACAACATTCAGTGAGGTATTCTGAAAACTTCATTTGAAAAACTTTTAATTTTTTAACGGACAAAAGATTTTCAAATTCTGATTCGTAAATGTTTCGTTTTCGTTGGGTACAATCATGTCTAAAAAATTTGAGAAAAAAAATATTTTCAATCAAAGCAGAAAATTTTATTTTTGGTTTTAATTCGATGCACCTTTTTAATTTAGTCGTTGTAGTTAATACGATAAGTTTATGAAAATTAAAAGCACCATAAAAGTTCTGTTGATTTGTTGGTGAAAGTTTACTAATAAAGGATTTTAAAGTGATTCAAACAAAGAAAAATTGTTTCAAAACAAACAAATCATCGATTTTTACGAAAACAAAATTACTCAGCTGTTTTTTTTTGAGATATTATAATGGATCCAAAGAGTATCGAAAAACTCGCAAAAGTTCTTCGTGATCAAGGCGATAAATTATTAACATCCGAATTTAAGTTTACATTAACAGGTAAGTGTAGAAAATAATCAGCTGATAACAATATTTTCATTACTTTTTAATGTAATTTTTTGTGGTCATCCATTAATTGAATTTTTTCTTCCCATTTTCTCTTCATCACTTTAAGGCGATCTACTACGCTCTTTAAATGATTCATTTAGCTTAATCATCGATGAAAGCGAGCTCGTCCCGCCAATGACGTTTCAAGTGACAAAGCCAAACAACTCAAAGTCAAATGTTTTTCGGGATTTAATACAAATTTATGACTTCATTCAAAAAACATTAATTTTAAAGCTGACAAAATTTCTAGATGAGGAAGATCTGTTGGAGGATAATTGCATAATCGATATTTCCAAATTTCGTAGTCTTCTAACACTGGAAATCCAAAGAGTACCAATTGAGAGGATTACAGGATTGCAAGGACTTCGATCACAGCTTCAAGAAATTGTCGCTGAAAAATGTTTAACTAATATCAAAGATCTAATAATGTTCTGTGCTGGTGACAAGTCATCTGGGTTCATTTGGAATTCTCTGAAACGTGCAGATTTTTCCTATAATAATCTTGAAAAGATCGACAGCTCCTTCGAGTTTACTCCTTACCTTCAGCACTTAAATCTTAGCCACAATAAGATTTTTCAAATATCAGCCCTAGTTTGGCTCCCAAATCTTAAATTTTTGAATTTATCATTTAACAATCTCACTTCAATTCCAAAGCTTAATGTTGAATCATATCGAAGACTTCAAAGTTTAATAATAACAGATAATATAATTGAAGATATTTCGGGATTAGCTCGTCTTGACGCTTTACTGGAACTCGATTTATCCGGAAATTTTATGCTGGATCATTCACTTTTACTACCATTATGCACTCTTAGTGCTTTACGTTATCTAAACTTAACTGGCAACCCATTAAGTTGTCATCCGAAACATCGTTCAGCTACATGTCGTTTTCTGAGTAAAAACGCTGCAACTGTGCAATTTCTACTTGATGGAAGTTCTTTATCCAAATATGAAAAATCACTTACAGGAAGTTACGAAAATTATTATCCAATCTTTGGTCACAGAATATCGGTATCAGCATCATCAACTGTCACATCTCGTGCAATACCGCCACAAACACCATCAACAAAAAGTATCAACAATACTCCAGAAGGCAGTAGCTTGAGCTCCGTTAATAGTTTATTACTTAACAATTCTTCAAATGCTACGATATCCCAAGAAAATCAAACGTTTTCTAATCAAAAACGTATGAAACCGCGTTGTGTTGTGATAGAAGAAAGTGATGCTAAGCATGACAAGCAACTAGAAGAGAAGTCTCCAAAAGATAAAAAAATGTTGAAGGAAGCAAGTCAAGAACATTTGGTAACGAAGAGAGAAATCGAGCAGTTACGAGAACAATATGGAAGTGAATGGCTGTTCAATCAAGGTGCTGTTGTGGGTTTTGAAGATCAAAATGTGACAGCAAGGAAGAAACTTCTTTTAGGAGATTTGCTTTCAACATCTCCAGCATTACGAATGGATGAATCTTTTGAAAAAAGTGATCCAACAGATTCTTCAACTCCCTTAGAAGAAACAATAATTCCTTTTGAGGAAGCGACTGGAAACAAAAGTATTGACGATAGTGAAGGAAACAGCATCTACACATCAGCACTAGATGAAACTTTTCCACAGGAACTTCCAGAAGAAGAAGAAGAAAAAATTGTTCTGTCAGAACCAGAAGATAATGAAATTAAGTTTATTGTCATTGATGAATTTTCTCAAGATGATTTATTTTTAATCATTACTGAAACGAATATTAAAGAAAAAGATGCAATGAGTACAAGAACAAATGCTAAATGGGGAATGTCAACTTTGGAAAGTGTGGAACGTCCGCGATCTGATTTAATACGTTTGACATTTGACACCATTCGTAAAGATAAACGAGAGCGACAATATCGAATGGACTTGAAATGTTGTCAAGAGCTTGAGAAAATTTTAAGAGATTTCTTAAGCTCACGACCGCTTTCAGAGATGAATCAAACAGTGTACAAATGTCCAAAATGCAACTCCCAATTCAGTCGAGAAATTGATGATCGAAAGAAACGTGATTATGGTGAGATTCTTGTATTTTAAATATAAATCGGGTTTAACATTTTGGGGAACAAAGAAATAGCTTTAAGGTAATTAATATTATTGATCAACTTTCAGAAATTAAATGTTCTTGTGGAAACAAATATGTAATTGAAATTCACAAGACAACAAAATGTGAGACAAGCCCTCCAAAAACATTCCTGTCAGGTAACTTTTTTTCGTCTACAACTTCATCTACTGCACAAGGAACAATACAGAAAACAGCATCTTCAATCAGCATAGAGAAAAAAGGTGATGCAGCAACAGGTGGTGGAATCCCAAAAACAAGTCACTCATTCAGTAGCATTGGTAAGTAACACATTTAAATTTGTCGTTCTTGAATGAAGTCGATCCACTTCAATTGTGTTATTATTCATTAGAAAGTGCTTTCGACTCGAATCAATCTGTTGCCGGTAGTTCGGTGGAGGTTCTGAGCGAATGTTCATCTCAAATGTCTCAAATATCACAAACTTCTCAAAGTTCTATTGAAGTGCTTGACAGTATTCATGGAAGCCGAAAACCATCAGAAGAACGGCGCATATTGCAGAAGCCTACACTCGACACCATTAACGATAATGGACAGAAACATGATGAAAGTCCCTTAAATGAAACTTTAACATCTTCCACAGAAATGAAAAACGATTTGAAATCAAAAACATTAATGAACTTAGCGAATGTTAATTTAACGGAATCAAGTAGTTCTGGCTCGGTTTGTGAATCAATTGTAACAACATATGAGAAAGGAAAGCAGAGTGAGAAATCTACAACGGAAGGTGACAAGCCAAATGAATCGAAACTCGAAGGAATTTTTAAATCGTCAAGTATTTTGTTATCAAAAACTCAAAGAAAGGAAAGTGAATCTGAACCAAATTTTCTTGCTAATCCAATCCATTACAATTACGAAGATCTTTCGGTAGTTGATCATCGTGTTAAACTTTATCTTTTCCAAAATATTCTCGAAGAAAATGATGAAAAACTTATGTGGTTAGTGAAGACACTTGTGATTGAAGATGATGCAGGAGCGAATGGAAAACCTTTCTATTCATTAGTGATCATGTCAACAAAGAAAATTTATGTGCTCAAGATTATTGGAGAAGAAACTGAAGATATTGGAAGCTGGCTGAAAAAAGTTATGTTTCATTCAATTGATCGGATCGAAACTATCCACGAGATTGTTGATAAATTAGGAATTTCTTTTGTTTTCAAATCAAAAGCGAAAATTCACCTTTTGCTTCCTGATCAACACGTCACCGATCGTTTGACTAAACATATCACAACATCAAGTAAGTTGGTAATATTTCAATTAATGTTTTGACTCTTTACCAATAAAATTTCAGATCAAAATCTTGAAATTGAGACAACATTTGCTGGATCATTCATTGAGAAATTAAAGAAAATCACCAACCAACATGAAATTAAAACTTTATCGATATTCAATTCATGTGCTACATCTTTAACATCAGCAACTGACTCTGATTCATCCGTGGAGATTCCGAAAAAACGAATTGATTTTGGTACGATGATTGTGACAGCTGAAGCAATTCATTTGACAACAAGCTTTGCTTGGATCGTAAGCAATGTTCATGAAAAAGCTTTTCAAAATGATATTGTGCTGGTGCAACCAATGACAAATCTAGTGGAGTTGGAGAATGTAACAAGAACAAGTTTCCAACTTAATTTCATGGATGAATTGGAAAATACCATCGAGAAGTGGCGTTTGGTTTTTGCATCGTATTCAAGAATTGCTCAAACTCTTGAAACTATGGATACAATTTGGAGAAAGATTTTCTGTGTGCCTTTATTCAATGATGATCAGATGTTAAGTTAGATCACTTGTTTATTTATTTATCCCGGTTCATTTTTTTCTTTCATATTAGAGAACCATGTTATGAAATACTTGTCCGTGTGTTGCTTAGGATTATTTTTCATATAGATATTTAATAATAAAAAACATTCTATCGTAATATAGTTATAATTTATGAAAGTTATTAGAAATGCAATAAATAAAACAAAAAAATCATGATTTCTTCTTAAATTTATCTACATTTGAGCTTTGATATTTTTCTTAAATACGGTAATTCTAAAACAGACAAATCATCTTAAAAACACTTCTTTTAACAAACCTTTTGTTTGCCGTTTATCGGACTGTTCTTTAATTATGTTGGAAAATCAGCATTTTTAAACTTTGGTGCTTTCTTGTATGGAAATTACGTTTTGATAAATGTCATTGAGAAATTCTTCTTCTTATTTCCTTTGTGATTCTGAACGAAGAGTAAAAATTTTAATCAAATGATTGATAAATTACTTTTTTTCCACATTATATTCCAATTAACTGAAAAGACATGTTAATATGGTTCATTTAGAACTCTTAAATCAAACAAGAGAAAGAAAGCACTTGCGAATGAAATTAAATCATATTAAGCGTTCTAGGAAACTTCTCATTTTTTCTACCTACCTTGGGAAATTATATAGAAAATTCTTATTAGTGTTTCTGCAACGTTTCTATAGTGTCTAAAGAACGTTGCAAAAATTTGGAATTACATTTATGAATTACAGATTTGGAGGCAAGCATGGTCAAACTGTTAAGGCAGTCTTTTTGAAAAAAATAATATTTTTCCCCATATCTACAAAATTTATGAAACAAAATGTCATTGAAGGAAAATTTCAAAGTTTTCTTTTTTATTTTGGCATTTGATGGAGGAATTTTTGTTACAAAAAATTATTTATTTCCTGTAAATGCATTACATTAATAACTAAAAATTTAATGTGAGGTTTTGTAATGAAGCTTGATTATTTTTCTTATTGAGGTTTATGAAATCAGAATTCGTCTTCAAAATTATAAGTAGAAAATTATCTTAAGGTTTTTTGATTTTTCTTTACATTAAAATGGTGAGAAATAAAATTCTTACAGACTTTTTTATAATCATAATCATACTATACCTAAGGTTTCTTTTTAAGAACCATAGTTAAGCAAACACTTAAATTTTTTTATTTTTTGTTCCAATCGCTCATGTCTTTTTCTTAATTTAACATTTCTTGCTGCTTCCTTATCCTCTTTCTCTTGTAATGCAAATTTTGCATCCGATTTTTTGTGTCGGTATATCATTGAAGCTGCGTTGTTTCTTGCAATTTTTAATTCGGATTTAGAAAATTTACCATCCTTAACTTTTAAAAGGTGATCCGTGGGGTTTTTTCTAGGACGTCCTCGTTTAGATCGTTCTCCATGAGTTTTCTTAGAACATTCAATCTGTGTAGTTATTTTCTAAAGTTAATATGCATTTTAATACCATTTTCGTTAGATTTGCTTACTTTTTCTGTTGTGGAAAAATTATTATTCCATAGAATGTGATTTATTTCATCGTTCTTGTGAATTATTTTTTCTTTGTTATCTTCAATTTGTTGTGGAAAGCAAAATTCGTCAAAAAAATTGTTAAAGAAATTATCAGTTTTATATTTAGCAATCGCAATCATATGGTCAGAATTTTTAATTTGTGGCACTGATTGCACATTGTCATGTGTTGATATAAATTTTGGAATGTTGTCGGTAATCGAGTGATATTCTTCAAGTGGCTTCAAGGTTTCACAGTAAGAATGGGAAATATCTATGTAGTTGTATTGGGAAGCATTATCTATTTCAGAACAATCTTCAGCAAACTCGTCATTGAAAAACAGATCATTATCAAAACTCTCTAGCACAAAATCGTCAAAATCTATTTGAAAAATATTAAATATTAGTTATTTTATGTTATTATAAATGTTATTTTGACACAGACAACATCCTATTTACTTATGAAAATCTATCATAGAGTGTTGACTGTTTAATATGACAGACAATCATCTTACCAGGAAGAGATTCCTGAAAATGTATGGTAGAATCCATAACAGACAGCATGGATTTTAAAGAATTATCAAACACTATTAAAGATAAAAAATCACTTGATTTAAACTGCATTTTCATAATATTTTAATCGTGTTTATGAATCACTAAATCACTTATTTATGTTTTTTCACTTTAGGTTAAATGTTATAAGATTTATGACAATCATATTTTTTCGAAAATAAAAATTGAAAACGCGTTCGCGACAATTTTCCAAATGATAAGAAAATTGCTTTCATTATGTTTTGTAAATATTTACTTAAGCTTTACTATGTAAGTAAATTTACCAAATTTTTTATCAATCAATTGAAGTTATTTATTTTTCAAAAAATTACTTGTAAACATGATTTTTTTTTATTGGAATTCTATCTATTTTAATGTAACAAATTACTATGAGAATTTAGACTTATTTGTATTAAATGTCAATGCAAATTAACAAAGTTACTTTTAACTGTCTTGCTTGGCCAAATTTGAAAAGAAAAGTTGTAAATTTCATTTAGACATTTGCTCATATCTGATAGATAAAACAAGTTTTTCTTTAGATGTTACAAAGCTTTCAAGATGTGACTAAATTGGGATGACAAATTAAAATTTGATAAGTTTTTCATGTTTATATTAATAAATGAATAAATAAAAACAATAAATACAGTGTATTGAGAAATTTATGTTCCAGAAAACTAAATGAAAAATAGAACATACGTGATCAGTTGTACGTTTCTTCATAAGTAAGGTACTGATTAAATATGAAATAATAAAAAATTTTTGCAATCATATGTTATCTTATCATATTTTCTTATCGCATGACAGTTTCAAAAAAATATCACAAACACGCAGTATCAAAAATTCCCTAATTATTTGTTTCTTTCAAATTTACACTTAAATTATCCGCTTCTACTTTGCCAATAGTGATTGAATAAGACCATATAAAATATTTCTCCATTTATTCTGATCGCTTAATGTAATTTTAAGCCTATTTCAAAAATTATACGTAAAGGTAAAATTTCACAATGAACAATATTTTGAATTTATTTTTTTTAACAATCATGAGGTTGTTTAATAAAAATATGCGAAACATCACTTATATCTTTTATTTGTTCCTCTTTCAATTCTTAAAAGCTTAAGTTCCTGGATTTTTTTTAATATATATTCAACTTTATTCAGATTTATGATAAATAAACTATACTAACTTTATTAGATAACGTTTGAACGGGAAATGAATGAAAAATCAAAATCGCAGAGAAAATATCAACTTTTTTTTCTCTCAGTTCTTTACTCTCATAAAAATTCCTCTCTTTGTGTAATGACGTCATGAAAAAATAATTTTGTTTTCCTCAACACATTGAAATCGCGTTCATGATTGAACATGATTTTTGCCGCTGAAAACGTAAATATTACGTTGCATTGAAAAATTGACAAAGCACTATGAATTTCCATGCCCAAATTTTTATTCAATTCTTCAAATTCACATCGAAAGCATATTTTCCAAATTTTAGATTAACAAAATTTTTTGATGTTTTTACATCTACATTTTTTTTTTGAAAACAAAAACTTCTTTTGGTTGTTAAAGTACCAACATAGGTAATATTTATAAAGTATAATAAAACAATGTAGTTAGAGGTTCTTATTTTTATATTTTTAATATTAAATATTTAAAGTGCGTACAAGTATGAATAATATACCTTAAACAATATAAAGGATTATTTTAAGGATCTTATGCTACAATCGATTAAGAATAACATTTTGTTTTAACTTTTAAACATTTTACAAATTAAATTCAAGAAAATCTTGTAATATATATAGATATTTAGTTGAGCCCCAAAAGCCATCTTCTGAGAGTCTCAATCTGGCCCTCCAATTTGTTTCTTTTGATTTTTAATCTACTTTGTCTACTTTCGAGGCGATCACATTCATCTTCCATTGCTGTTTGCTTCGATTTGGACTTCATTCGACTTTTTCTCGATGCTTCATTATTCTTTATTCTAAGGACAAGATGGCTTGCATGTTCAATGGGCATATGGCTGAAATCATCGATAGTTGGAAGATCTGTGATAAGTTCTTTCGCTGGTCGGCCACGTTTCTTTTTCGACAATCTTTGTGTGTTTGAGTTGAATGAAGATGCTGATGTTTTGATTGAATAATCACTATCAGAAGAATAACGTCTCTTAGGCGCTCTTCGTCGTAATGATTTGCCATTTTTCTCAAATTCTGATGACTTTGGTGTAGATTCTTCCTGTTTTATGTCGATTTTTTTTGTTGATGTTGATGGCTCTGGATCTGTTTTGTATACAATTTTCTTCTCATCTATAAGAGGTTGAAAATTTGGGCAACCTTTCTCATCAACTGGTGTTAATAATTCGTCATTCTGTGATAAACAAAAATTAAAATGAGTAAAGAAATATTTTTAAAATTGTTCTATTATTAACTTACATCTCCAAATATTATATATTTTATAAGATCAAAATCAAGGTTTTCTGATTTAATTTCCACAGCTTCTTCAACAACTGGTGATGGAGGAGCCGTAATTACTAAAGGTTCTTCCTTCTTCTCCATCATGATGCTGCTTTCGAAAAGTGAATCAGGTAATTCACTAAAAATTTCTATATCAACTGGAGCTCGAGTCCAAAACTCGTCAGAAATAATATTAAGATCCTTAATCTGCTCTAATCCTATATTATTGTTTAAGTTCTCTTCGATATTCATTGAATCGAAGAATGTTGGGTCGCAATCCAATTGAAACATTTGACCGTCTGATAACAGTTCGCCGATATTATCTAAGTTTAAAATGTTTTCTTTTGTTGTTTCTTCTTTATTAAGATTTATAGATTTAGTGATGGTGTTTTCTATCTCCAGTTTTTCTTGTACTTGGTCTTGATTATCGATAAACTTATTTAACGTTATGGCGTTGTCGTCCTTTTGTGATTGATATTCGTAATTTTCGAATCCTTTCTGATGATTATCTGTTAACAAATAATTTGGATAAATAAATTTTGCGAACAAATCGGTGATCACGTCTAAAGCGTACGATTGGTAAAAAGAAACTGATACATGAGTCAACACAGTTTTCCGAAGCATAACAAAACAGAGAAGAAGAAGGAAAAAACTTTGAATTGTACAACACGAAGAGAGTCTTCGGCGTTCTCTCGTACAATTCTCACTGAAGCGGAAGGGGAAGATTGCTTAATAAGAATGTATGCGTGCTCATGCAAACAGGGAGCAGGGAAAAATATCAGATGTTTTCCCGTATACAAATCAAATTCCCACATTATTATAAAAATAGTTCATCATCCCTGTCAATTGCTGATCATATGGTTTTGGAATAAACGCGTTAGGACACGTTTCACCTACGAAACTCGAAATATTTTTTGCTTAGATAGCACTGACAGAACAAAGAAAATTTAATTTAAAATTTCTGAGATAACTATTTAATCTATAAATTTAAAGGAAAAGACTCAAACAAGTTAGAGAAAATCGAACACTCGATATGGCCGATGAACTTCAGACAAAATCATGACTCATCAGTGAGTGCTAATTGGGTCAATGAATGGAAGTTACAATGACCTTGACCAAAGAACATCAACAACTTACCAATAGTTGGCGTGTTGAGTTCTTCACCCTGATGAGCAGACTGAGCCGGTAATGCGATGGGCGTTAGCAATTCTTCGCAAAGGAACGTTATGCTGTCGTCCAAATTTTCCACTTGCCAAAATTGGCCCGTATCGGTGATTACTGGCTCGTTTTGGATTGATTTTGTCAGTTCCGACGAAGTCCGGGATGATTCGGTTAAGTCTGGCCCTGGTAAAAACACAAGTGTTTGATAGATTATCGTTTTGTTCTCCAACAGCTCTGTCTGTCCAGTCTGTTGTGTCAATTTTCTTTCTCTTGATTGAATCCCAATATCCTTTAGAAGATTCAATTGATTTCTTGCTTGTTCCGATGTGTCGGTTGGTACTGTTAAATTGCCGTTTAGATTGCATAATTGCTTTTGTAATGTTGCAGCTTGATGCTTGCATTTTGATCGGGAAATTAATTCTCCGTTAAGCTTTCGAAAAATCGTAAAGGTTTAGTGGCAACCGCGCCAAAAAAAGAGCTGAGAACCCTGATGTCCCAACCTGAATTAAATAATAAATAAATGCTTAATTAATTTTTACATACTTGAATTTATATCAGTTGTTGTTAAGTAATGATAAGATTAAAAACACAAAATGGTGAAGCTGACGATGATGATGACATAGCAGAATTTATTATGTTTTTAAGTTACTTTTATGTGATACATACTTAAAACTTTTGTTGAATGAAGAATTGAAGTGATTGAAATAAAAACAGAACATGTTTGGACAAGTTCGACAGAAAAGCACAACCACTACTTAATGTGTTGACGTTATACAAACTAAATCGCGTATAAAACGCGTATAATATATTTGTGTTAGTGATGGAATTTTGAATGACTCATCGTTGCGCAAAGTTATGAAATTCATTTCACAATTGATTTATTTTGACATCTAAACCGGTAAAAATAGGTTTTTCAGATGTATACTTGATATAAGAAACTAATTATTTATAACATTAAAGAATCACTTACTCTGTAAGAATTTTCTGGAAGGAAAATTCCTCTGTTTTTCAAAGACTTTGTTGAACCGTTTAGGCAATCAAAGTCGTAGTTAACTTTTTTAATATTAAACTTTTCGGATTTTTCCTTGTTTTGACTCTACTTATATGATTTGAAACCGTATTTTAGGATTCTGAAGAGAATTGTATACTCTTCGCTAATAACTTGGAAAATATATTTAAATGCAGTAAACTCTTCTTAGATTCTCCTTACTGTACAATACTACTTTGATGAAAAGAGCTCGCTTAAAATCAACTTGTAGAACTGAGAAATTTTATACGAATGATTTCTTTGTGACTTCGTTGCTTTAACGAAACAAATTTCGGTTCGATACACGAAGTTTCAAGAGAATTCAAAGAGAAAATAAAAACCTCGTGGGCCAATCGTAGCGCTTACAGAAATCGTCATCATAAGAATTCTACTCATAATGAATTGATGACGTCATTGCTTCCATTCATGTGACTTTGCACGAGAAGCAGATGAGAAGACCGGTGTAAACAGTTTTAGGGGTCAATCAAACAAAACAAAATGTGCTTAGTCATGAAAATGGAATGATGCAATACTCTACATTTTGTGGTATTTATTTTTAGATTTGAGCATTAAAAACATAAATTTCTATCACTATTTTTCTACTTACATAACTCTTTGATGACAAACCGATAATAAACCTCTACCCGTCATCGTTGACATCATATTTCTTCTAAAACCACAACAATTGTTCTTCTTAATGTTCAACTTCTTCTTAATGATAAAATTCTTATTAATGACACTAATGCTACCACACTTAATGTTTTCAATTTTTTGGCTTTTCTTTGAAGATTTAACAACTGACATAGTAAAGTGTTTAAATGTAGATTTATAGATATTTTTAAATGAGTCACTGATAGTTATTTTTGTTCAATTGCTATTTGCTGTCTTTTGGTTATTTTTTAAAAAAATTGTGCTTATCTAAGCATAAAATAACTTTTCTTTTATAATTTATGAACTTATTTAACTTTCAATATTCAATATATGTTTTTTATTATACTTTTTCTCGATCTTTCTTGTGATCGTATTGTTTCCTGACGTGTTGTTTTGTAAAATTGGCTGATGCAATAGTTAAATTTTTATGATTATCTTCTTCTGATTTGATTTGACTTAAAAACCTGTAATCTTATCAATAAATTTTTGAATTTTAAAGCGTATTGCTTAATTTCTTTGATGGGATACAAATAACTAGCTAGTTAATTTATTTAACTTTTATTTTCAGAAGTCTGTTTCAACGAAAATTTTCGTTTATATTGAATGGTTTCGCTTCGAGGGGTATGTGTTTATATGCATTTGCAAGCAAAACATTCAAGGGATACAGTCAATTCTGTCTATTACGAATATACCCCTCTTGAAGTGTTTTCCTAGACCTTTGTTTTACGGATACTCCACTGTAGAGATTTTTTTGAGAAAACAACAAACAGATAAGCCGTAAAAATATTAAATATCTAGGTTACTTCTAAAAAAGTTTCTTTCAATTAAGGACTACTAATTAATGGAATTTAAAATGGAAACTTCTCAAATGCCAAGACGATCAGGTGGACGACCACATTCTGAAGTAAAAATTCAAATTAGATAATTGGAAACATAAAAAACTCATTAATCCCTCCATATTTGTAGGGATGGTCACTTTACGGTTTTCAGAAAGTTCCTGGCGACAAACGTAAATTTCTTGCTAAGTGTAATAAATGTTTGGCTGTTCTCAAAAATACTTCAGTGATTAGAATGGCGGTAAGGTCGAGGCTTACATTTTAATTTGTTATAATATTAAAATTATTTTTCCTCGTAGAACCATAGAAAGAAATGTGGTGTATGTACCAAAGTTGAAGCTTCAAATGAAACTAATGAAACAAATCTCATAAAAGTAATCAAGATTGTCAGCGATGAGCATGAAATGGAAACCGAACAACACTTTACAAATGTAGCTGAAGAAGAAGTTAATCATTCTGTAATGGAAGTTATAAACGAAGACATAAATCGTCATCGAAAAAATCCTTTAAATATTAAAGCGAAACCAGATTTAGCTGCTATTGACGCAGCCCTTTCAAGCTTCATTATTGGTTGTAATCTTACCTTTGATATTATTGATTCCGAGCATTTCAAAAAGTTTGTCGCTACTTTAAATCGAAATTACAAAGTCCCTTCAGGTTCACAACTCAAAGAACGAGTTTTGGCGCAATTAAAATCATTAGATTCAAGGGAAAAATCAAGACGAGCTCATTATTACGACTCGTCATCAGATGAATTTGAATAATTTATATTTTTCCTTTGTCCTCAATGTATGTTTCATGAAAATTACTGATCACCAACAAATTCTGTAAACTACAAACGTTCTGAACACTTGTACAAATTTAATTAATCCAATTCGACTGCTGAAAATTGTTTGATATTTTCATAAATAAGTAGATATATAGGAATCTAAGAAAGTAATCTCTAAACAAATTATGATGTTGTTTTTATTCCTTTATTAAATAATTCACTTTAAATGTACAATGACAAATATAGAAAAAGGAAATTTCGAAAAAAGAAAAGTTTTCTTATTTACACTCATTTCAATCTATTTTTTCTTCTTTTACGCACATGTCTTGAGGGATTTCTTATTCTTTTTACTAATATTTTCTACTACAATATAATATAAAAATATGAAAAAAACAAACATGAATAATATCTATCAAACAATAGAATTTTAAAGTGTGAGGTTAACTTACAACTCTACACTTACTGATTAATTATACTTATTATTTTTTCATATTTTCTTTTCCCCAGCTTTAGAAGATGATTTAATCAGCTTGAAAGCTTTTCGTGAAAATCACATCCAAAGCTGGGGAAATGATCTTTTGATTACAAACATAATTTCTAATATTAAATTTATAGATTAATAGACAACGCAAATGTATTAGTTATTTAAAGAAGATAAATAACAAGAATTAGTTATTATTTGTTTTCGATTTTAAGAATTTTTTCCCTCAGCTCAGCTTCACACAATGACAGGGAAACAACGTCCCTAGCTGAGTTTTTTGGGAATTTCTTATGCTCTATAAGTTTGTTTTGTCTTCTTCTGTCTGTTAAAATATTTCCTCTTGCACTACACTGCTTCTTCTTTTTTCTTTTCAAAGTCTGGTAGATACAAATATTTTTCAAAATCAACTTCGCTTAAAGTCTGCCGATGATAAGAAGTCGCTGTCTAATAAACTTTTTGTTTTATTCTTCTTTATCCTTTCCAATAATAAATGTCGCTTGATTTTTTTTTATTTTAATTATTAAACTCCTTCCCTTTTAATTTTAATCAAGATTTTTTTTTCTTCTTCTAGTTCTTCTCAGTATTAATTTTCCTTTTTCAAAATGTAAATATTTGTCATTAAAGAGTAACGAAATGCGCTCTGATTACTTTAATCAGCATCAACCTCATCGTCTAACCCAGCAAAAGCATTTGAAACATGTAAATTCTGAAGGCAAAAGAAAATTTGTTAATCTCTTTCCTCAATTAGAAAAATCATGAAAATGTCTTACGGGTCCAGATGGTGCTTGATATTTTGGCATACGTTCTTCTAAATCTTTAGGAGGTCTCTCGCGACGTGGTTCTCTGGTTTCGCGATCATCACGACGAATCTCATTGGCTCCGTCGCGTCTTAAAGGTCGATTGTCTCTACGATCGTCACGACGATCTTGTCCACCACGATTCATGTTATTACTTCGATAATCTCGATCACTTCTATAAATATTATTTAAGTTTTATCATCGAAGAACCAACTTATTCTTCAAATAATGTTTCTCACCTATTGTAATTACGGTCACGACTATCTTTAAAATTCCGAGGGCGGTCATCATCTAATAAATTAATTTTATGAAAAAAGTTCTTGTATTATCAAAGAAATTTAAAATTTCTCACTTTTGCGACGATCGCCATCAATGAAACGGCGACCATTGTCACGATTTCTATTTTCCATAGAACCATTTGAAGGTTCTTCATGCTTTCGCCAATTTACAGCTTCTTCCTGAAGACGAGCTTTTTCTGTCTTGATAACAATAACATCCTTCTTGATCTGTTCGCCTTCAACATTCTTTTCAGCTTCGATACGCTGCTTTTCACGCTCGTCTTTTTCCCGTTGAACTTTTGCGAGACGTTCTTGTTGAAGCTTTTCTTCAATTTCGCGTTCACGAGCAGCTGTGTCAACAGGTTTTGCTTGGCCAAAGATATTAACACTTGGAACTGGTTTTGGCTTTGGAGGTGGTGGAGCTGAAACCTCTCTGTCTTCATCATCAACCAAACCAGAATCATTTTGACCTTCCGAATCGCCATTGAGAGAAGGCTGTTTTCTACTTGGACGATCTAATTCTTCCTCTTTTGGAAAATTTAACACCGGAAGGGGCTTTGTTCGCGGCTGTAAATTGAGCACCGGACGTTCTTCTTCAGGCTCATATCGATCACGTCGCTCGTAGCGGTCTCTACCTCCACGTCTATCATTTCCATAATTTCCACGTCTCCGATCAGGTGGCGGAGAATCATTTCCAGGACGATCTCCCATTCTCCAATTACCACCATCATCGTTATCATTATTATTGGAATCGTGTCGGTTTTGAAAGTTTGAACGCGATTGATAGTTACGACGATTGTTGTCACGATTATCGATTGTTTCAAAGTTAGATTCTTTGCGGTCACGCCAATTGGTCGATTCATTTGATGTTGGATCACGGGCTATGTAATTGTCATAACGTTTACGCACTGTTCTTCCATCACGTTGATCATTCTCGCTTGCCAATTCAATTCGAATTCGTCGGTTTTGAATCATTGCATCAGGCAACATAATTGCATCAATTAAGTCTTGACGTTCTTCAAATTCAATGTGGCCAAATCCGCGCAAACGATCATTCGCGTCATCACGAGCTAAGCGCATTTCTTTGATACGAATATTTCTTTCCAAAAAGAATTCATCAATATCCTGTTCGTTCGTATCGAAAGGTAAATTCGAAACACGAGCAGAGAACGGCCCCGTGTAAGGGATCGTGTCGTCATCTAAAATTCTTGCTGCCCTTGGTGCCGTCGGTAATTCAATGAATTCCGGACGACTGGGCCGATCATCATCATCTTCACATTCTTCAGCCCAACTTGATACTTTTTGAACTATTACCTGGGTTGTACCTCCACTTGATGGTGTCGATTGATGTAGAAATTCTTGCAAAGATAAGACCTTCTTTTCTTTGGACTTCTTGCCTTTTTTACCTGTCACAAACAAATAATTAAGTGCATTTTATTACTTTATGTCGTTAAAATCGCATGTTCATGAATATTAACGTAGCCTAGAAAGTGTGTGAAACCTGTTATGATGTAAAAAGAGAGCCAAAACTATGACAAGGTTATTTAGTCTTTCAATTTGTTTTTGTGCTTTCGCTTTTCATTGATATAGGTTCGTTTGACTCACACTTATCAATAAAATAATTTAATAAATGCTTTTTCTATACACAAAATGTCTAAGATGAGAAACATCCAGACAACTACTGATAATGAGAAGACGAAAATATGGGAATTGGTGACGATACTTATGAGTATTTATAGATTTTTTTCTACATTTTTTTCACTATTACTAATTTATTTCACATTCACTGAAAATGTGATTACGTTGCTATTCTAATGAAAGCATTTTAATAAAACTTTTTGTTTGAAATAACAAAATAAACACTAAACGATCATTTTGCACCTTTATGCGCCAAAACGCATAGGATACATGTGGAAAAAAGAAGAAAATATATCTTCCAAATCACAGATTTCGTGTTGGAGCTTTTTTTTCAGCCATGTGAATCCCATAAATGAAATTTTAATTTTCATTCATATAAATAAAGTTTATTCGAAATCTTTTATATTCAATGAAAAGCTTATAGTTTTGGACATCAATTGAACTGTTTTGTTTCACTAAAATCTTAAAGTATTATTTTGATTTATAAAAAATAATAATTACTAACCAACACTAGCCATTTTCGGGGGAAAGATACTGATTTTCCAGTCCGCGGGGAAATTACCAACGTTGGTGTACGGAATCAAAGTGAACTTTGATTGATCTTTTGTCCGAGAACGTTTCAGTGGCGGCGCTACGATCGAAATGTTTACACGGACAAAATGTTTACACGGACACATTTCAAGAAATGTGATTGATCTTTTGTCCGAGGACGTTTCAGTGGCGGCGCTACGATCAAATCTCGTGCACGGAGAAAATCTCGTGCACGGAGAAATTTTTTCTGTGCATTTTGTAT